GATAGATAGATAGATAGATAGATAGATAGATAGATAGATAGATAGATAGATAGATAGATAGATAGATAGATAGATAGATAGATAGATAGAATACCAGTCACCTGACAGACTTTATCAATCTTATATTTAGATATTATTCATCATTCAGAACAAAACCCTGCCATTAAAACTATATTAAGGAGCTAAGCCCCCCCTTTTTTAATTAAAATTCAGATCCCGCTAAGCTCTCTTGAGGCAGGAGAGCCTTAGCCTTAGGTCCCTCGTGGCTTACTTTCTCCCTGTGGTATGTGTCCCTCGGCAGAAACGAAAGAATGGGGTCTCCAGTTGTCGAAGGTTTCCACCAGGGATTCAGTTAATTATTGTGGAGACATTTGCTGTCTCCGCTTCCGGTCACAGTTGTTTTCCCAACTCTTTGAGCTGGTCTTAGTCAAAGAATCCCCTGCTATGAATGCCTATCCCATCCTTCTCTTCCTGACCCCTTGGGAGATTTCTCTGTCCTTCCATTTCCTTTTGCTGTGGCTAAGCATCTGCGATGACAAAAGGCTCTTGGAACATCCAGCGTTTGTTCAAAGGGGTTGCTAGGATTAGCCAAGGCCAAGCTGCTAAAGGGCTAGTAGTTCAAGTCTGCCTGTCTCTTACTTGAGATTGCAGCCTCAGTCTGGCTGCTCCTCAAAACTTGATCCTCTATTATGTGGCTGGTGACTCCCCAGCCTTACCAGCCTGTCTCTGAGGACTTTGGATGCGGGTTAGAAGCAAGAAACTACAGACAAAATGATTCCATTGAAGCTTTAATTCAAATTTGATCAGTTCGCTTGGCTTCTCATTTATTTAACCACCTGTCTTTTAACCCTAGGGCAGGGGTAGGCAACCTGGGCTCTTTTATGACTCGTGGACTTCAACTCCCAGAATTCCTGAGCCAACATGGCTCAGCTTGGAAACCTCTCTCTTTCCCCTCAGCACGGCTGGCTCAGGAATTCTGGGAGTTGAAGTTCACGAGTCATAAAAGGGCCAGGTTTGAAGACTCACGGGCTTGACAATAATAGAACTGGTTGGTCATTCTCTTCTTCTAGGGCAGGGGTAGGCAACCTTGGCTCTTTTATGACTCATGGACTTCAACTCCCAGAATTCCTGAGCCAGCATGAGGGAAATTTTGGCCCCTTCATGATTTGTGGACTTCAACTCCCAGAATTCCTGAGCCAACATGGCTCAGCTTGGAAACCTCTCCCTTTCCCCTCAACATGGCTGGCTCAGGAATTCTGGGAGTTGAAGTCCACGAGTCATAAAAGAGCCAAGGTTGCCTACCCCTACCCTAGGCTGATTCTTATTTATTTATTTATTTAGACAGATAGTTTTTGTTCCACCTCTACTATTTTAAAAAGTAACTCAAGGCGGCAAACAGGCCTGTTACTCCTCTCTTCCTCCTACTGGGGAAACCACAAAAAACACTGTGAGGTGGGCTGGCCTGAGAGAGAGTGAGTGACTGGCCCAAAGTCACCCAGCTGGCTTTCATGCCTAAGGTGAGACTAGAACTCACACACGCCTAGCGATCAGCCCAAAGTCAGCCAGTTTCATGCCTAAGGTAGAAAGAGGTAGAACTAGAACTCGCTGTTTCCTGGCTCTTGAAAGCCAGTCACCCAGCTGGCTTTCATGTCTAAGGCGGGACTAGAACTCACCATCTCCTGGTGATTGGCCCAAAGTCACCCAGCTGGCTTTCATGTCTTAAGGCGGGACTAGAACTCACCATCTCCTGGTGATTGGCCCAAAGTCACCCAGCTGGCTTTCATGTCTTAAGGTGGGACTAGAACTCACCATCTCCTGGTGATTGGCCCAAAGTCACCCAGTTGGCTTTCATGTCTAAGGTGGGACTAGAACTCACCATCTCCTGGTGATTGGCCCAAAGTCACCCAGCTGGCTTTCAAGCCTAAGGCAGGACTAGAACTCACCATCACCTTGTTTCTAGCCTAGTGCCTGATAGTCGTGTTTTTCCCATTTCTTGGATTTCATGAATTTTTTTTCAGCAAGAAGAGCAGGCTACCTTCTCCATGGCCATTTCTTATTAATGATTTTTTTTCCCCCAGGAGAAATTAGCTTACCATCAGAACAGCAGCCAAGCACTTCACCCTGGACTTTATCTGGGTTACCTGAAGCTCTGCAGCGCAGTTGACCAGATCCGAGTACTGGTGCCTGAACAATTACCCAACATCTTATGTCATGTGAAAATACGGAGCAATCCCAACATATCTCGGTAGGACTTTCGAATGAGAGCTGATTTTTATTGGCGGCCCTTCCAAACGGTCGTTCTACATCTGTAGCCAGATTAGGCTGAGCTGAGATATATTCTTTTTGCAAGTTCATCTCCTGGCCAAAACAAAACAGCAAAGCGGGGAGAGAGACCCAAGACAAAGTTATAGAAACTGGGCCGATGGTTTGCCTGCAGATTTGCTTGGGAATTTTAAAACCAAATATAGCCAGGTCACGAATTGTGCATATACGATGCGAAATATAGGTTGCCTTTAATTTAGGATCGTGATGGAGCCTGGCCATCAGGACAGTAACTTGACTAACTTGATTTTACAACACTTTTTGAGGTGGTTGTTAAATGAACCCAACCAGCCGTAAACCAAACCAGTGATTTGTTATGGGCATGGTTTTACCCAAAAAACTTGGAAATAACTGCCAAGTTTCCACACAACCACTGCAAAACACAGTCACGTGAAATCAGAATGCTGCAAGCAACCGTAAATGCAGTTCAGTTGCCAAGTGCCTAATGTTTGGTCCTGTGAATGCAAATAACCAGGAGCCTTCATTGGGTTCAAAGCACAGGAGAGTTTATTAGCGCTACCCATATACAAGAATCTGGTCAACCAATGGTCAAATCTAAATTGCCACTCAATAAACGTGAACGGAATTCACAGGGGGCTGGACTTGAGTCTCTTGTGGCAATGCAAGGATTCCAAACGGATGACACATTTAACCCCGCCTTCCAGCTCAGCCTGCTCTGGTGGTGTGGGGGAGTGGGATCTTAGTTTTGAATCTGGAACTTAAGTAGTTTAAGTGACTGGCTGTAAGTTGAGGATTACCTGTATACCAGTGATGGCGAACCTTTTAGAGACCGAGTGCCCAAACTGCAACCCAAAACCCACTTATGCATCATTGGGTGCCGGGTGGGTGTGGCCCATTAGGTGGGTATGACCCATTGGGTGGGCGTGGCTGCAGTGGTAACAGCAGACTGGGTGGGACTAAAAGGTTCAATCCATCAGTTCCAACTTTGTAAGATCTTTTTTTTTTTTCCCACAAGAAGTTGAAATTGACTGATTGGTTGAACCTTTTTTTTTTGGTACACGGCGGCATTGGCCTAAAGCGAAAAGGTTTTATAAAACCCAGCTGAAGGCCTAGGACTGGGGCGACGGCGCGCGTGCCCACAGAGAGGGCTCTGAGTGCTGCTTCTGGCACCCGTGCCATAGGTTCGCCACCACTGCTGTATACAATTAATGGAATGGAATATCAATTGCACTAGTTAAGCAAAAGGGTCGTCTGCTGCTTGAAGTATGAAAGTACCAACACTACAATGCCCATTGTTTGTATCAACGTGTCTATGGTGGATATGGAGGCATTTACTTCCCTGATTTCCTCTCTGCATTTATCCGTTCTCCCACATTCAAGAGAGGAATGGGAATGGCTGCAGATCCTGGCTAGCATGGAAGACCCCGTTCCCTCGGAGCAAGAACTGGAAACTTCTCAGCAGCTTTTTCTGCAGGAGCTCCAAGGGGCCATCAGAGAGTTGATGCAACTGGTCAACATCCCACTCCACGAGGTAGATCCTAGGTGGGAACCACGTTACGGGGGGTAGGCAGAAAGAAATATTGTGGATTTTATAGCATGTCTGAACCGGGTCCCATCTTATTCTTACGATCCACAACAATGAAGTTTAGGCAAAGGTCTTCTGAGGTCACAGCTATGAAAACCAAGGCTGAACCCAAGTTGACATCTTTCCAGTTTTGATGGAGATTCTTTTCAAGGCCACAGTGGCCCCGATCTTGGGCAAGTCAATCTTGTTGATGCCTCGTTGATATAAATGACCTGATATGAGTGCATTTAACAAATAGTCCAATCAACTCACATGTAAAAGGGTGTAAATTGTTGTCATGGGAACAACAACCCACATGTAACCCTCTCCTTGAGGGCTTCACATGAGGGACGTGAATCAAATAAATAAGTATGCATCTGTATATCTCTTAATGATTGGCAATGCCAGTAAGGCATGTCCTCAATTTTGGGGGAAAGTTAAATTATTAATTCAGCCGCATTTGCT